CGAGGCCCTGCAGGACTACGAGAGCAGCCAACACCCGGAGGACCCGCGGCGGGCGGGCAAGCTGCTCATGACCCTGCCCCTCCTGAGGCAGACGGCCACCAAGGCAGTGCAGCACTTTTACAGCATCAAGGTGCAGGGAAAGGTTCCCATGCACAAACTGTTCCTGGAGATGCTGGAGGCCAAGGTGTGATCAGGACTGGACTGGTCTGGACTGGTCAACGGCCGCAACCCAGGGCCACGACAGGAAAAAAGAGACTTGAAACAAGGTTGAAGGTACTTAAAAAAAAAGAAAGGTGAGGGAGTTAAGGGGGGGGGGCCTTGACTAACTGTACTACACAGGACGAAGAATGACCTGCCCCTGGGGGACCCTCCTGAAAACTTGGGGCACTAAATTAAAAAAAAAAAAATGAAATGCAAAACTTGGCTATTAGTATAAATATTTAAAAAAATGACGCAGATTAATTTAAAATATATAAGAAATAATATGTACAGTGATAATTTCTTTTGTTGTTTTTGTTAATTGTCAGTGGTCATGCTGTATATAAAGAAGGACTCTTCGCTCCTTCAGCATCTTCACAATAAGTGTTCGCCAGTTTTTGGTTTTGTTTTTTTGTTTGTTTGTTTTTTTTGTTGTTTTTTCCAGAAACAGAAACTCTTTAAATTTCCTCGTAGGATGTCAACAGTGTCAACAACAGACGACAACTCTCATCTCATCTCACTCTCACTGCTGTGTTTTTGGCCTGGACTCCACCAGGACGTGTACATATTTATGATCAGAGGACTGAGTGGACAGTTGGAGGTCTGGTGAACTTGGCGGCCATGTTCTCTTCTTCTGCTCCCGGGGGGAGGGAGAAAAAAAGAAAAAAAACTTAAAGTGAACTCCTATCAGTCTGAAGATCCGTGGATGATCCGCTCCAGAGCAGTGAACTGTTTGGTCTTTGTGGACCTGGCTCAGACCTGAAGACCTGACGGTCCCACCTTTAACTTTACTGACGTAGACAGGTACATCCTTCACTCATCTTATCCTCTAGTAACTCAGCAATAAAAGGGTCGGGGGCCGTGGAGGGACGGAGGGGGGTGGAGCTTACACGTGTGCTTCTTCTTTTTTTTTTTTTTTTTTTTTCATTTTTTAAAACATCGCTGTCGCTCTAACATCTCACCTCCGGCGGCGACGAACTCTGTGTCATCGCAGCTCTGAAGTCCAAATGTGGCCACTGTGGAAAATGCATCTTGGCATGAAAACAGATGACCTGATAGGAGTTAGGTGAAAGATGATCAGCGGGTTGGTTGTCGCGGCATCAGAGGATTTATGAGGAGTGGCAGCGCTCCAAGAGATTCCATAATCAAACAATCAGAGGTCCCACATGTCGCCCGCTCTATTTTGGGCTCTTTCAAGCCGGCGGCAGAGTCGTGGTGCACACGGGGCAGCGCGGTGGCCAGCATCTGCTCTCACCATGTTAGACACCTCTCTGCTTTTAATAGCCGTGCCTGCGTTTACAGAGCTTCAACCAAACGGAGGCGATCGGCAGGTGCAGAGTCGGAGTCGCACTTTACACCGGGTTTATTTTTAGTCGTGGAACACGATGTTGACACAGCGGCCATTGTGGGTTAACACCTTTCCCACTGGGGGGGGGGGGGGGGGGGGGGGGGGGGGGGGGTAGGGTGAGGAGAGCCTGCGATGCTGGAGCGTGCGAACGCGAACAGCTATGCAAGAAATCGAGTGTGGCGCTCCAGACAGCGTAACAGCAGCAGCAGCAGCAGCGTGTCAGGACGAGGTGTGAACACCGGCAGCTCTCGTGCCACACGCTCCCTATGTTGAGCTTCATGTCCTACATGTCCTGTTATAAAACGTACGCGTAATACATAAAGGTACAGTATGCAGGAATAAGGTACCACAAATGTACTTCTTCCCTTAGATAAATGTTTTTTTTTTTTAATATTCAAATTCCCCCATCCACCAGTAGAGTGCGCTAATAAAACACTATTGTTTATGTTGACTTAAATTTCAGGATTCTGTTACCAAAGAAACTTTACGTTTAGAATGTGATTATCATGAAAAACCAGCTGATCCTTTAGTAATGTTGCAAAAAAAATGCAAATTTATCAGTTTTTTTTATTGACAAAAAAATACATAAATATAAAACATTTAAACTATAACTGCTCATATCAGTGCCAGAATTCTTTTGTGGCACAAAAAATTTAAGGAGTCTGTTTTCAACTGTAGTTTAATATTTCACTCCAAAACAAAGTAAAAAAAACCCAAATTTTAATTGTTTATTTTTTAATATATTTCCTGCATACTCTACCTTTAAGTGCAGTTTTACGTGAATGCAAACGAGTCAGAGGTTGAATGCTTGTTCTGCTGAAGGATCGTTCACGTGGTGCCGTCCCTACGACGCGATACTGTGATCAAAAAGGAATCTCCCATCATGCATTGCATTGCTGCCATGCTGATCCAGCAGCCAGCATGCCTGACTGGCCGAGTAATGGAGGGCGACTTCCCGCTCCGGCAACTTATCATCCAAACTTGGACCAGCTGCTGTCGTCCAGTCAGGAAGCTCCTGCGTGGAGAGTGAAGATGAATCTAGAACCACGCTGCTGCTGCTGATGCTGCTGCTGATGCTGATGCTGCTGCTGCTGCTGCTGCTGACCTAAACCACGCCCAAGAGCATGGTTTTAATTAGATTAGGGAGAATTTTTAGGCTGTTGACTAACATGCAGTACCGCCCTCTGACCACAAGAGCTTTATTCGGTTCACTTTACAGAAGAAGAAAGAGAGAAAAAAAATCCCACTTTTCTGCTCGTTTCCATCAGTCAGTTTGAAACTTTTGCCGAAAACCTTTACGACTACTGTTTTATAGTGACCCCCACAGGCCGTGAAGGTGAACAACATCCGTAAGGAAACATGTCTTACATTTCAAGCTGTGTCTGTGTGTGTAAATGTATCAGCATCAGTACAGTAGGTTGCCGAAAAATACCATTGACGACAGAGGTATGCAGCCCCCTGCTGACCACTACCTCATGATGACCATGATGTCACAGCTTTGGCTCTTTGTCTC